GGGACAGGACGGTGCCCTGGGGGACACCGGCCTCCATGGGACGGGTGGTGGAAAGGGAATCTTGGATTTGGATGCGGAATTTTCGGTGGTGTAGGTAGGATTTTATGAGTTTGGTAAAGGATATGGGATATTGGTTGGTGAGCATTTTCATCAGTAGGCCTTCATGCCAAACCGTATCGAAGGCCTTTGCGACGTCCAGGAAGACAGCACCAGTGTACTGTCCCCTGTTGAAGGCCGCCGTGATGTGCTCGGTAAGGCGAAGGATTTGGAGTTCAGTGGAGTGATTGGGTCGGAAGGCGAACTGCTCGTCTGGAATGACTTGCAGTTCTTGGGAGTGGGTTCTTAGACGGGTTAGGATAATTTTTTCTACCACTTTGCTCATAGCCGGGAGCAGGCTAATGGGCCGGTAGTTGGATGGGATGGTGTGATCTTTGTTGGGTTTTGGGATAAGGATTATGTTTGCTGTTTTCCAGCGGGTAGGGAAGTGTCTTAGTCTGAGTGTCGCGTTTGTTATGTTTAGTAGGGCCATGAGGCCCTTGTGTGGTAGTCGTTTAAGTGTCGTGTTATGTATATTGTCGGGTCCGGGGGCTTTTCTGTTTTTAAGTCTGCGTATTGTCAGTCTTAGTTCGTCAGGTGTTGCGGGGGGGATTATGTCATTGTCTGGCTCTCTGTCGACGCGTCGGGCCGCGCGCTCAGCCACTATCTCGAATTCCTCGTCTTCGTCGGGCAGCTGAGGCAGTCTACACTGCAGTTCCAGGCTATCGGCGAAAGCCTCGGCCTTTTCCTGGTTCGTGTAAACCACCCCCACACTACCGTGGATTGGAGGAATTTTACGGCGAGCGGTCTGTCGCAGGGCCCTCTGCGTTTTCCAGAGGCTGTTGTCTTGTGGATCCAGCGACTCCAGGTGCCTAGCCCAGTTATCCTGGGCCAGTTCATCCAGAGCCGCCTTCACCCGTCTGTTAAGTACGTTTAAGTCATGTCTGTGTCGGGGGAGGCGGGTGCGGGTGGCAAGCCGTTTCGCACGTCGTCTGTCACGTATTAAGTTTTTTATGTCATCGGGGAGGGTGCCCCGGGGGTTTGTCAGTCGGGGGACAATAGTCTCCGTCGTAGTCTGAGTCAGGGCGTTTTTAATGTCAGTCTCAAGGGAGAGGATTGCCGCCTCCAGATCATGGGTGGTTTCGATGACTGGGAGCGCGATGTTTCCTTGCATTACTGCTCGGAAGCGCTGCCAGTCAGTGAACCTCCTCGTGAAGGTGCCTTCACATCTCTGTCTTCGCCCCAGATCCAGAAATATTGGATTGTGGGCGGAAGACCCTTCGTATAGTATAGTAACCAGCTTACATACTTATTTGTATGTACATACTCCTTGTAATCAAAGATAGCATTCTCTCTCTCTCTCTCTCCAAAATCATAAGAATACCAGGATAAAGATAGTAATTTGAGTTTACGAAGAGAATTTTCATAATAATTACGGCCAGGAGACTGAAATAATTGTATTTGGCAACAGTGGCAACATTGGCTCCCTGTTCCGTCATTCCCATTATTTTAAATGTTTGTAACTTTCGCCCCCTGTCGCTCTCTTTAATAAACTTCTTTCACGCCGTAAAAATGGCCGATCAAGTAAGTATTTTTCTGTTTTATATATTTATGTTAAAATGGGAAACAAAAACAAATAAATTTGTATTTTATGCTTAAAATTTTATGTAAGTACTTTTAGAGAAAATGTTTGTTTAGTTTTGATATAAATACTTGTGCCCGTATCAAGTGATTTCAATATCATACACGTGGTTTTCTAGCCTGTATTAGGTTGTCATTTTATTTAAGTGATTCATTTTACAGAACGAAAGAGCTTTCCAACGGCAACCGACAATATTTCTCAACCGTAAAAAGGGCGTAGGCCCAAAGCGACGCAAATCTCTTCGTTATTATCGTGAAGTTGGACTTGGTTTTAAGACTCCACGAGAGGTATATACTTTATTTAATTACTAATTTTTGTCTCTTTTTTTGTATAGACGGAAAAGGCATTTCAAAAGCAACCTACGGTTTTCGTCAATCGTAAATCTGGTGCCAAGAAGAAGCAACTGAGATTATCTCGTAATGTTGGTCTAGGATTTAAAACACCTAGAGAGGTTTGTTAGATATTTTTAATCTTTCAGAGCCTGGTGGTATCCTGGTGACGGGGTTAAAATCTTGGTGGTATAATGGTGGAATCTGAAAGAATTTCTCATCAAAATTTTGTATCTGCATTATTAAGGGAATATAACTATTTGCAGATACATTTTTTTTCTTGCTTTCTCTTACTATTTGCTTTTTTAAGCCTAAAATATTTTTCTTCTGGTTTTTAAACACATCCTTAATAAGATGTTTATTTCATGTAAAGGCCGATTCTCATTAGACGAGCAAGAAACAGGATCGGCAATGGCAGGGCACATGCTCGGCATGGGCCGAGTTTTCAGAGACAATTCACACTGCGACAGACATGCCGCAGGTAGTAGTTCCCTAGCTTTGTGAAATAATGTTCGCGACTTCCAATTTGGTAAAAATTGTTTTAATCTTAGATGAAGAAGAGCAAGAAAATAAAAATTACCGAAAAAGAAATAGAGGTTTTTTTAAATTACGAAATTTTATTGTTAAGAAATCGTGTTTGTTTTAATATATCTGTATAGATTAATATATGTTTAATAATAATAATAATGTTGCAATTTCTCGCCAATTTTTTTCCATATCATGTTTTTGTAGACACAGTATTTTTTGTGAGAAAAATTAACCTCATTTTCTCTGATATATTCAATAAGAATTTCATCTTGTTCTGAAGTTGACTGCCTGGAGAGTATTCACACTTGCCGAAACATACACGGCACATGCCCTGCAAATATTCTTTCGGAAGAATGTCACGTACAAAGTGTGTTGCTTGCCGAGACGCTGGACGTATAGTGTGAATTGCAACTCTCAAAACACATAAGATACAATGGTTAAGATATTTTGCCGAGCCGGTGCTTTGCCTGTGCCGAGTACGTGCCTTGCACGCAAGTGAGAATCGGTCTTAAAGGTAGAAATGGCTTGGGGAAAGGTTTACAAAAAAATATATATATAAAAAAGTAATTTGCATGCATTCAAATTATTTCTAACATAATAGCATGGGGTAAATCAATGTATTAATGAGGGGTATAGGTATATTGTAACATTTTTTCCAAATGTAATCTAATTCTCTTACTTGAATAACGATTAGCCAGTAAGTATCTATAAGCAAATTCCAATAATTATCTCATATTTGCAGAATTTATTAATTGCTTCGTTTGCCACATTATATTTGGTAAAAAAATTATTCTCTAGCTTGCACGGGTTCATTTTCATATAAAATTTTGCTTTAATTTTTTTTTATTTTTGAACTGAGGCTATTCAATTTTTTTTTTAACCTTATTTTAGGCTATCGAAGGATCGTACATCGACAAAAAATGCCCCTTCACTGGTAATGTGTCCATTCGAGGACGTATTCTTACCGGCGTGGTGCAGAAAATGAAGATGCAGCGCACCATTGTGATCCGTCGCGACTATCTTCATTATGTCAGGAAATATAATCGTTTTGAAAAGAGGCATCGTAACATGTCCGTGCATCTTTCCCCCTGCTTTAGGTAATCTAGTTTTTGTTTGGTATCCGATATAAATATTAACTTAGCGATCTTTAACATTTTTTAACCTTTGAAGAATTTATTTTAGTTTAATTAAAACTACATTGGGACAAACATTGTTTTCTTATCTTTAGTTAGAGAATCGCCCCTTTCGCATTTTCGGGTGAAAATCTAGTAATTTTTTTTTATTTCAGTCGTTTTTTTTTCAGCTCCTAACAGATTCATTTGCAAATTAAATCTACATTTGTCTCTTAAAGAACGTAAACATAAGAAAGTGTCTGATTAGATTCAATTGATTGAACTGTTGAAAAAACATGACCGTTAATGAATTCGAATGAAAATGTGTTTATTATTGAAAAATAAATTGGCATTATACTGTTGTTATCGCCGAAGTTTTCTGTTTCAGATAAATTTTAGAACTTAAAATGATGATATGTCAAACGGGCGGTATGATTACCATATGATTAATGTTTGATTACTGATTAACTACAAATTAAATGACTAAATTTTCAAACATTATTAACGATCTGTTGTTAATGGTATTTTTTTTGATACTTTCAGGGATGTGGAAATTGGAGACGTCGTCACAATTGGAGAATGCAGGCCCCTCTCAAAAACCGTCAGATTCAACGTATTAAAAGTTACAAAGGGCAGTAGTTCAAAGAAGAGTTTCAGGAAGTTTTAAATGATTCAATAAAATTTTCTAAGTTATTCTTATGATTGTTTCATTATCACCCCTGTTCTTTCTTTTTTTCATAATTCTCTGTTCGCAAGCATGGAGGAATATTGTAAAGTAGCAGACAAGTTTTTCTTAACTAAAATCTATATTAATAAAAATATATATATTTTTGAATATAGCTGAATTTACTTCCGATGGTTAAAAGTATTCTTGAGGATTTTGTAATAAAAGCAATGAATATTTTTTTTATTATACTTTTCTAACTAGATTAAAAAGGAAGAAAAGGTGTATTCTCTCGGCAAAAAGTTTATACCTATTTCATATAAAAAAAATAAACCTTAATGTATAGCGTGTATTGTAAATTTTGAAGAAAATCAATGTCGGTTATACTTAATGCAAATTACCGTTATATTGAGCTGCACCATTGAGAAGTGGGGTTTCAAATTTTGAAAAAATAAAATCTCAGTTATACCTGAACTTAGAAAAACCAAATTTGGTACACGACGTGAGTATACCAAGAGCATTAATTGACAGTAAGAGTTCAATTAAAACATTTTATAGGGATGATGCACCATTAAAATGTGACAGAATTTTTTAACCAGTTGGTGGACTTAAAAAATTATTATATGGGGAATTTAATTCTAAAACTTCTTGCTCTTGTTCGTTTTCAAAAAACTGCGACAAAAACTAACGGAAAAAGGCATTTAATTTTAGTAACAGTAATTGTTTGCTGAGTGAGATTTAAATACTAGGTACCATATGACAACTACTAAGGTCAAAAGACGTAGAAATAATAACTACAAGTCAAATATTCAGTAGCGAAAAAAGCCATTAGTTTGTAAGCTGATCCGTCCTATTTTATTTTGTATAACTCTAAAAATGCCTACTACCTAAAACCTGATACAGACAAGGTTACAAATTGTTATCTATCATCTAACCCACTTTAGCTATAGCCAAATTTAAGCGTCACCTCCAAACTGAAAAAAACCGGTAAATTGGACAAAAGTGATAGCCAATTTGGCGCCAAAAATCAGCGACAGAAATTATGGGCGTGGCTTAATTCATACCGCGTCAGTCGAGTCGCATCGCATCACAAGATTTCTAACCTTTAAGATTCATGTTTGTTTACATGTAACTTAACCAGCAATTTTACATTTTTTCACTTATTTAAGTAAATCTTTCATGATTGTTTCGGTATTTTGCAATAATTAGGTACTTATTAATAATAGTTTTGAATAAATTAGTGGTGTAGTGTTTAATATAAACTTAATTTACCACGTAACAATGCCAGGCGTGAGGTGTAGTGTTGCAATAATAGTTTTTATAGTGCTAAACAAAACTATTTAAAAATTTAATTTTATGTGTTTCCTAAGGATAAAAAACTTAGAAAGATATGGGTGGAACGGTGGCAATAGACGCGATTTATGTTAATCCTTCAACTGGTTATATATTTGTTCTGCACATTTCGAAGATTCAGAATTTCCATGCGATATCCAAGCAGAGCTATTAAGTTTACCATCAAGAAAAAGGTATGTTTATTAAAATAATACAGCAATCATTTAATTAAATTATTATTACATTTAATTGTAGCAACAAATCAGCAGATTTATAAATTTGTACCTATCCTACCTACTTATAGAGGTACTAGAATCCGTTTAACACGGTGTAATATTTTACATAGGTACCTAGTTTTTTTCATGCACTGACCTAGAATTCTATGTAAAATTCTATATCTGTACCTCAAAACTAAGCTGTATTAAGTGCCAAAAATGAAATTTTACAGGAGAGATTTAAAGATTTAAATTTTGCTTATCATTCCATAACTTCGAACTCTTACTTCTCCTTGATAAAAAAAAGAATAATTTTCTATTCGTATTTTTTTTTCGAAAAAATGGAGTTAATACTTTGGCACAAACATGATTTAGGGATTTTATATTATAATATTTACTAATTGGCGATAATACACGATGAATGTGGATATAATACTAAAGTAAACCAACATGATTTTGATATGTGTGGAGTTAATACTCCGAAGTCAAACTAATAGAATATTAACTCCACATACACGTGTTTGTCTCGGACTAAATTGATGTAACAAGGAACTTAATACTGTGGAAATGAAACACGGTTAATATTAAATACACATACGATTGTCTAGCTTGGAGACAGGTTGGGACTTATTATTATTTAGCACTGTCTATCTTCGAAAGTATCATGAGTGGGAGTTAATACTGCTTAGCACGTGAAAGAGCATAAGAAACTGAGTTGGGCTGTCAAATAATCCCATTTTCGTAAAAAATTGAGTTAATACAGTTTAGCTCTGAGGTACAGATATACAAAAACGTAGTTGGTAGGTACGTACAATAATAAATTATATTGGAGCCTATTATTTATAAAGATAAGTAGGTAGGTACCTACTTAGATAAGTTACTTGAAATTTAATTAAAGACAAAAATAGATACAATAATAAGAGCATATAAATTATACCTACATATTTTTTTTTTTTTTTTGGAGGCAGGAGAATATTTATTTCCTGTAATATTGGCAGACCCTCTATCTTTGTACCCTGCCTTCTATCGTTGACATATTTATTAAATTTCTTCACTTGTACAATTTTTAAATATGACTGCTGTGATTAGGTATACCTAATTCCAGTGCCTGATTTACCTATAGGCTGGTGTAGGCTGCAGCAACTAGGGGCCCCCACCATGTTAACAAAATTTTTTTTATGAAAACTAATTTTTTTTTAAGATTTTTTTTAAGACCTCCCCATCATGATTAAGAAAGAAAAATTATTCTTAAAAATATAATTTTTTGCTCTTAAAATTTGAATTCTATCCATTAAGATATCGATATGATTCTAAGAGCTGCCACTAGAGGGAGAAAGCGTATACAATAAGAATACTTGCAATTTACTAATGCTCTCTACTTTATCTTTATTAGATAGAACATAATCTACTGTTGATAGTTAAAAAATACAACCCTAAACTGTTGTAATATTTTATTGTGACATAATATTTACTTTACCTGTGTAAAGTTTCTTTTTTATATCATTATTCAAATATGGATCGAAATATAGATCGACATAAAACTCCCCGACTTTATAAATCAGGTGCAGCAAAGGTAAAAGATAAAAAACAGCGAAAAAAACGAGATCAAGAATGAATTCAAATCCAAAAATGAACATTTAAAATCAGAATTTTAGTGTCTTCGACCAATTTTTTGTTTATTTTTTTAATTTCAAAATATAGCCTAAAGTAAATTTATAATACACCAGAAGTTTTAAAATGGGATCTGAATTAGTTTAGATTTAGAAGATAGATGAATTAAAGTACATGCGTGTCGCACTGAGCGTGGTACCTAGCCTTCCTTAGGTCGACTGGTTTGCTCGAAAAAAAGACATATTATTAGTAAAACTGATGTGATATCATAATAATAACATAATGAAACAATCTTATAACTTATAACAAAGGAAGAACGATTTTATTTGAAAATGTACAGTTTTACATTCTAGAACTGGTTATTTTTACAATACTTAAGGCCTTCGGTTGTTGGAATAAGGCGTGCAACTTTTTAGTTCCTAGAATGGTGATTGCAGAATCGAACGGGGATTGCGAAAAAGTCCTCTGACGTTGAATATTGTCTTTGGAGCAGTAGTAAATGGCTGTCTGTTCTAAAGATGATTTTGCCCATCCGTATAATCACATGTGTGTAACGATTGCTTTACTTGCAGGTAAAAGTAGGCTTGCACGCGTTGCTAAACGTTTGAGGTTCCCCCCAAGACCATCCGTGAGACGTTGCGTGAAAATGTATCTCTGCATCCGCATTAAAATCTTTGTAATAAAATAGATTCACAAAGTTAAATCGATTCTGCAATCACCATTCTAGGAACTAAAAAGTTTCACGCCTTTATTCCAACCACCGAAGGCCTTTTTGTAAAGAGAACCGGTTTATAACAGATTCTCATTGTAAAACTGTAAAAATTTTCAAATAAAATTGTTCTTCCTTTGTTATAATATTGTTTCATTATGTTATTATTATGATATCACAACAGTTTTACTAATAATATGTCTTTTTTTCGCGCAAACCAGTCGACCTAATAGCTGTTTTACATTGACAATTTATTCATGAATAAATTGACGAGTTCTTTATGAATTAATTCACGAATTTATTGGTAAACAGTGCTACAGACTTTGTCAAGTTTTTTGACGTATGAATCAGTTTTACCAATGAATCAAAGAAGCAAATAAATTTCAAAAATGTCACCTTTCCACTCATAATTGTAGTGATACAACAGCGGTACCGTTCTGACACATATTATATAAATATTAGTTTTTGTAAGTAACAAATTAGTAAAAACAATGCAAAACTAGTACGACGCCACACAATTATTTACATATTCCAATAACATAACCTCATTACTGATCTGAAGCTGGAAATCTGTTGGATTGGTACTTCTGAACTTCACAAAGAAATTAACGAAAATTAGAACATGCTCTAATTCGTCAAGAACTTGATGAATAAATTCATGAAGTTATTTGACAGCAGATTTGGTGCATTACACTTGTCCAATTTCTTGATGAAGCGACTTCATGAATTAATTGATCAATAAATTGTCAATGTAAAACAAAAAGTTTGTTTAAACAAATGTGCACCAGATTTCCGGCCGGCATCATCTTGATTCATGTTAAGGAACATCTCACGAATCTGATTATGCAAAAAAATAGGCTAGGTATCACGCTCAGTGTGACAAGTACTATGTACTTTAATTCATCCATCTTCTAAACTAATGCAGATCCAATTTTAAAACTTCTGGTGTATTATAAATGTACTTTAGGCTATATTTTGAAATAAAAAAAAAATGGTCGAAGTTACTAAAATTCTTATTTTAAATGTTCACTTCCGGTTTTGTAGGTACACGAATTTTTTTTTCCAATTTTATTTTATAATTAAAAAGAACAGTAAATTTTCTGTATAAGTTGCCATATTTACTTAATATTATAAAATAAATTTGCTTAATTCGAAAAACTATTTCCGAAAAATACGAATTTCAATTACGACTATTCTTAGAAACCTATAACTTGACAAATAAACATCTTACAAAAAAAATTGTGTATTCACATTCATACCCACTAGAAGTACAGTTAAGCCGAATGTGAACAAATTTCAGAACATCGCTTTTTTTCGCTAATCTCTTTTAACCATCTAACAAAAAACAATAAAAGCGGTATGTACAATTAATTGAGATTAAATTTTACTTCTGTAAAATTGTCTAAATGGGAGTTAATACAGTTTAGCTCTGAAGTACTGTTGGTACATACCAGAGACAAAATAATGTTGTCTCTGGTTGGTACTAATATGCAAATAAGGAAGTCAGTTAAAGATTCGCTTAAAAATATACTTAAATTACAATAGAGAATTTAAAAGGGATATTCTAAATTAAAATATACTTATCTGGCGGCCATTAAAATAACTAATTACTTTTTTTCGACCTGTAAATAATTTTCAAAAAGTTTACATGTCCATTCTTAATTCCAAACCTGATGTAAGCGAGTACGGGGAATGCGCTGGCCAACCATAATTTGAATACAGTAATATATTGGAAATACAATCTGATGATTTTAAATTTTAAACAGTACATTATCATAGACAATATACTCAGTTTTGTTTTAACCCACCAGGATATATTTTTATAGTTTTGGTTCTCGAGCTTCCTGTAATTTCCTCGGTTCTCTAGTACCATTTGTAAATACGTCATACATAAATAATAATCTATGGCGGGATCTACAGCGGACATTCCGTTGATTAAGTAGTTCACCATTTTAACCAGCGACGTTTCGGGTTTCTCGAACATGGGAGTGAAGACTTTTTTCAAAAGTATATCGGAGATCTCTCTAGTTTCCTGTACTGAGCTCCTGCATATGTTGAATCTAAAAACAATATTTTTGTTTTAGTTTTATTAGAATTAGAATATATGATGATTAGACCTGTCTTCGATTCCCAAAATATATCCTAAAACTCTCCAAACGTGTATGAAGCCCTTGAGATCCTCTTCTTTCGGATTATGAATTCCCACCATGGCACCCCTCACTAACCCGAAACCCATGAACCCAAACTGAGTTAAAGCCATATCCATTTGGCTGAATCTGTACTTCAGCCTTCTGATGCTTTGCTTGCTAGCTGCGTTGTGTTTTCTCTTCACGTCTTCTATAGATGCTAGAAGTCTAGAAACCGAAACAATTTAATGTCGGAGGCAAGTTATAACATTTCACATTTTGTTGGTTTTGCTAGAAATTTTAATTCAATTGATAATTTTAAGTGTGCAATCAAATAATAATGAATAGCGAGATCCGATAAACAAACCACTGGGACATTGTGGTGTATAAAACAAAAACAACAAATAAGATCCACTGGGGCATTAGCAGGAGCATTAGTACAGAGATTAGCAGATATTATTATTACTACTATTTTATAAGAACTGATTTTTTTTCGGAGAAAAAAATTCCTCTATTTTTTGCAAAAATGATATAACCACATTACAAACTTTTCTGAAATTTTCGGTTACGGAGTTAGTCAAAAATAAATGTTGGTCATATTTATTTCCGGTCAAACAGGAGGTGGAACAAACACAAAAACGATACTTTTTCTCAAAAAAAAAAAAAAATCAATATGGTTCAATTATTTTTTTATTACTTTTTTTGTCTCTAGGAGACCTTTTATATAGCTGTACATTTTGTCCCATTCAAAAATCTTAATAACAATGAAGTAAATTGCAATAAAAGAGAATTATGGGTCACCTTGTAGGTTAATCGAAAGAAAGTTATTTAGTCAGTTTTAATAGTGTACTAACAACATTATGAAGTTCATTTTGCAAGTACCTACCCTTTTTAGTAAGATTTAAAAATGTTTAAGATTTTTCAAGCATCCTTATATACCTACAATAGGAGGTGAGTTTAAAACTAGTACTAAACAACGTAGGGCCTTTTAAAAGTTACAGTTTTATTGGTTTCGTTCTTTGAACCGCTTAAAAGTTCCAAAAAAATGCAATATTAGGTACTAGTTCTCAGTTAATCGTTTTTTCTTTTCATACCCTAAATATTTATACGAATTACCTGGACCCGGGACGAAAATCGTAGTCGTACCAAGTTTTGACGTGGAATACAGTAGCCAGATATCTCCTGTAAGCGGTCATATCGGAACCGCTCATTTTCGTCATTATTAAAACGTTTAGGCCTGCCGGTAAGGCTATGACACATATGAGGCCCAGGAATTTACTGAACATGAGCCCGTAGATGTTTTCGTTGAAAAACGCTTGTCCTCTAAAAATAATAAAAACAAATTAAAGTTGATAAATCTAATTAATAAAAATGTTGAATTGATGCCACATCCTTCAAGATTTAAATTTAATTATAAGCTCCATAACATATATGTACATAATTAATTTAATTAGTAAATGTTAAATGTATTCTTTAACTGGGAGACGAAACTGATGAATGATGATACATCGAATGGGAACCGCTGACGCTACACTAAATGCTAAAATTATGGATCTTTTCACAATGGCTAATTTAATTGTAGTCCAAGAGAATTAAGCTCAAATCCTTCGAGATATGGCTGTTGCTTGACGTTGATTAGATATTAGTAAAAATCGGTCGAAAATAATATATACAATTAAAATATAAATTCGCGCCAAGAAAAAAAGTGCTATTTGCAGGAAAAATTAAAAATGCAAAAATACTCAAAAATTACGTGTTTTTTCTCACATTTTCCAATATAATTTTTTAAATATGTAGTTTACAGAAAAAATATTACTGATGAAATTGTTTGTTATAAAATTTGCTATAAGATAGAATTGTTTTGATAACCGCGCGTATTATATTTTTGTTGCTACATAGTCAAAACAGCGTAAGAAAGTGATGAAAATCGAGGTAATTTTGAAGCGTTCAACTGACGGGTAATAAATTGTCCAACTCTACTATAAATGTAGATGTAAGCACTTTAAAGTATTACAGAACGAAATCCCAAAACCCGATCCAAATCGGTCTGTTAGTTTTGGCATGATACAATTTGTTACTAAATTTCAGCGCGAAATATCGTTATTTTTTTGCGTTAATGCTGGGGTTAAAGTTAGGCAATTTAATTGGCGCTGATTTTTTTAAACATACTTGAACCCTTTAACTATCACACAGCATCGTTATAATATCAATTTTCTTTTTTTTAATAATTAAAAAAAATTAAATCAGCGCCAATTAAAATGCCTAACCCCAGTACTGACGCAAAAAATACCATACCGAATAATTTCATCAGTAATAGTTTTTTTCTGTAAACTGCATATTTAAAAAGTTATATTCGAACATGTGAGAAAAAACACGTCATTTTTATACAAATTACCTTTTATAGAGTTTTTCATCGTAATAGACTGGTACTTCGGTTCTCTTGAACGATTCCAACGTTTCGTCGCAAGGGATCTTTTTGCCTTCATTCAGTAGATTGTCCACAAATTCTTCCGCTAAAAATCGTAAATGTAAAAAATAGAATAAACTTTAATATTTTATTCACCCTACCCATATTGTAGTTGGTCATTGTTGAAAATCGAATGTACATAGATGCAGATCAACAAATGGTAACTGATAAATATAAATGGCTAATGGTGGGGAGGGTTTTAGACGAGGACAGGGGTTGCACAAAGATTACGAGTATTTAGAATGAAGCATCTGGTGGTCATCGTTTCTTACATTGACATATATCTCATATCGCTATAAACTAGTTCTTTTTTATGATACAAAATTTATTTTTGTTTACGTCATTCCGCGTTTTATATATGAAGGTTGTTTTATATTTACATATTTAATAATTTTTACGAGCTTATGTGGAAGAAATTGTCTTATTGTTACATATTTATTATTGTATAATATATTAAGTGTAAGAATTTAACACTTTTTAATGAAAAAAAAAGCAGATTCTTTTCTTAGAACAACTTTATTTCACTTATGTGATGTACTGTGTTCTACGCTATTATATCACTCAATATACAGTTTGAGAAAATTTTCAAAAGGCACATTTTCATTGAAGTTCATGTTTATACCATAGCAGTACCGTAGATCCGTGTTACTTTGCCCACATTTTTTCAGAATTTTGAGGATAATTTCAGAAACAGTACATTATGTCACTGAAAAAAATATTTTCAGATATAATTAAGCATTTAGAAAATGCCGACATTAACAAATGTGCGCAGGTCCTCGGATTTTTTTAATAGATGGGCAATAACTGATTTGTATTTCTTCGTCCACTCTACTAAATTCGTAAATTAAGCAAATTTAGACAGTCTTAGAGTAATTTTGCCCATAAAAAATGTTTTTTAAAATGGTTTTTTTGATAAATTTTTTTATGCCGAAAAAAATTGTTTATTATACTCATTATACTCATGGGGCTGCCAAATTCAGCCCTTGCAATAGGTACAATGGGAACAATCTCTTATTTATGTTTATTTGATGAGCAGCGTACATAAATAGTAGTTATTAACTATTGTTAACTTTGCCCATTTTTATTTTACCGCTCAAAAAAACCTAGGTGTAGGTAATACAAAACTGTTTGCCTATTTAAGATGGCACAAGATGTATGTAACTGTAATTATATCATAAAAATTTTCTGATTAGGTGAGCCACACTATAGTAGGATCATTTTCGATGCAAAGTAATAAATCATTGCCTTGTCAAGGGAACCAATGAAGTACGCTTTTAAGGGTTTTACAAATTAAATAATTTCTTTATACATTATGAAGGGACGAGGGGATCAGTTCAGGTCTGGCACCCTTGTTCCTACAAAAATTTCTTTATTCTCATAAACTATTTATTTTAAATGTAATTTATTATAAATCCAATTTGTTTCCTAAATTCCACATATGTACTACATTTTACCTCTGTACGTGCCACTGTTGTTTACTTGTTTTTTGGAAGCGATCTCTAATTGACGGCAAAGCTCGCCAGGTTAGTATTTGACTCGGTATTTGACGTATAACCGACAAGTTCGTACACTCGATGCACCTGGGCGACTACAGCTAGTACCAGAACACAGTGCGTATGCAGCGGTATTTCAGATTTTACATTGAATTTCATTTTAAATTTGAAATGATTTATCTTACGCCTCCTAAAAATGATGACATGATTTTTCTTTGATAAAAAACCGACAACTTTTTGCTCTACTTTGCATCGAATACGATCCTACTATAAACCTTACTATGTAGGGTAAAAAATAGTGCAAAAATGATGAAAACTTTCCTGCTCATTGACAGACGCACACTCTACCACCGATGGTTGTTATGATATTCTGTGCCTCAACTATTAGATCATATACTTTTATGATGACTAAACTTTTCACCCGTACAATCACACACGCCTACAATGTTGCCAAACCGAAGTTACAAAATTTTCAGATTTATGTGTCATCTGGGCAAAGTTTACCAAAAAGGTTTTACTTTACGGTAGTTTATAGAATTTGTAGTTAATCATTAACCCATATTTCATAAGTCTACGTAAAATAGCTTTATATATGTATTTGATTATGTCGTGTAATATACAGGGTGTTTACATACTCGGGGAAGATATTTGAAGAGTAAATAAATCGAGATGCGGAAAGTCGAATGGCAATAGAATTTTTTGCAAATCGATTTTTTTTATACCTGATGACTCCCCACTGCTCTACCTCTATTTACAAGTATTGTAATTGTAATGGTCTGCTTTGCATTCCATTATATTAGATACGAGATTAGATAGTATCTAGTAGGTACCTATCAATTTGTAAATATTACTAGAAATTGTCAGAAAATTAATATAAACCTAATGGATTTAAATAATTGTTTGAAATGAATATTCTCAAAGTAAATAGGTTTGGTCGGTTCTTTGCCTTCCGATGTTATCTGTTTGTTATCTTTCAAGTCAAATTATCATTAAATATTGAAGTTAGTCAAAATTCCAACAGTCAGACGCATGCGCCTTCCTATATAACGCTTACAAGTGGTTTGGTTCAAAATTCATTGTTTCGAATCAAATGCGATTGCATCTGGTTGTTGCAAACTTTTTCTAATGTACTAGGAAGAAAGCTAGGTAATACTTACCAAGTGATTTTGCAGTACATTCCATTATTTAAAAATGCAATTAGGGGAAGCTTATAGGTACTTACATACATACGTAATACGCAATGCACTATTCAGATTTTTTGTATCAACTTTGTTCTAAAAATACGGGCACTTGTAATCTTGATATCTTTTAAGAGTGGTATGAGTAATGACCGGTGTGAAATTGGCGACTAATTTTTCCGAAGATAACCGAACATTCATGGGCGGAGGTACAAAATGTATTGCATCATAAAGGGTAATATAATATGTATCTGTTGTTGAAGAATTGCAATACCGAATGTTCACATTTTTTACAATTTTTGCTTTTTTTATTAAAGGTTTCATCGACTCTCAACCTCCCCACTTTAATTTAAATAATAATTAGCATCACCGCTAGCACGCTAACAACCCCGAAATTTGAAAATAATAATATCTCTGCTCTCATACGTAATAAGTACTTCATTTTTTCTGGAAAAATAGTATTCGGGGTGTATTTTGAAATGCTGAAATTTCATCGACTCGCAAGTACCGGAAGGGTTGTTTTAACAACCCCCAGACGTGAAAATAATAATATTTCCGCTCTCGTACATAATAAGTACTTAATTTTTTCTGGAAAAATAGTATTCTGGGTGTATTTTGAAATACTGAAATTTCATCGACTCGCAAGTAGCAGAAGGATTATTTTAACAACCCCAAAACGTGAAAATAATAATGTCTCCGCTCTCATACATAATAAGTACTTCATTTTTTCTGGAAAAATCGTATTCGGGGTGTATTTTGAAATGATGAAATTTCATCGACTCGCAAGTACCGGGGTTGTTAAAATAACCCTTCCGGAACTTGCGAGTCGATGAAAATTCAGCATTTCAAAATACACCAAGAATACTATTTTTTCAGAAAAAATGAAGTACTTATTATGTATGAGAGTAGAGGTATTATTATTTTCAAATTTCGGGGTTGTTAAAATAACTCTTCCGGTACTTGCGAGTCGATGAAATTTCAGCATTTCAAAATAGACCCCGAATACTATTTTTCCAGAAAAAATTAAGTACTTATTATGTACGAGAGCGGAGATATTATTATTTTCACGTCTGGGAGTTGTTAAAACAACCCTTCCGGTACTTGCGAGTCGATGAAATTTCAGCATTTCAAAATACACCCCGAATACTATTTTTCCAGAAAAAAATGAAGTACTTATTATGTATGAGAGCAGAGATATTATTATTTTCAAATTTCGAGGTTGTTAGCGGTGCTAGCGGCGATGCTAATTATCATTTAAATTAAAGTGGGGAGGTTGAAAGTCGATGAAACCCTTAATAAAGGAAAGCAAAAATTGTAAAAAATGTGAACATTCGGTATTACAACAAGAGATACATATTATATTACCCTTTATGATGCAATACATTTTGTACCTCCGCCCGTGAATGTTCGGTTATCTTCGGAAATATTAGTCGCCAATTTCACACCGGTTGAGTAATGTTAAGCATATTTCTATAAGCTAATTGTTAATTTCAGTATTATCATAATAATTTTAAAGTATTTGCCATGCCCATAATGGGTAAATATGCACACAGCGTTTGCGATATTTACATAGGTAGGTGTGGGCGTGACAATGACATGTAGTAAAAATCGTTTTAATTTAAATTAGGCATGCAAAGTACGTCTTAAAACAATACTATCCCGCTGGTGAGTCATCTTCACTGAAAGTTTCTCGCATAGAAAAAATGTCTGTGGGTGCAGCGGGGTTTCCTGCAGATGTATTAACTTTTTTTTTAAGTTTTAAGAATGATTTATTGTTATTTAAAAGAGAATTTTAAATAGTAGGTAGCTGTAAAACGTGAAATTTTTAATATGTGCATGTACTTTAAAAAGTTGATCTTGAATATTTTAAACGCCGATAATTTATAGGTACCTACGTATTAGGTCCTCTAGTTACTTAAATCTACAAATGAATATTTTAAATAATAAAAATAATACCACAACTTGTCAATAGTATGTCAGACTTAATTCCTAATTTATGTGAAATTGAAAAGGGTAGCACATATCATAGTAACAGCCTAAAGAAATAAGTGTTGCCAAATATGTGCTGATTAGAGACGCGCTAGATTCTTTGTTAAATTCGGTCAGAAAATCGTGATATGTAAAATAAATCTTATTGTTGTTATTGTTACCTTTTATACATGGGCCATCTAAAGCAGTTTATCTCGACAACAGTCGGGTCATTCGCCAGAAATGATATGAAACAAATATCAAAGTTACTGTTCTGTTAATAAAAAAAAAAAAAAACAAATAAATAGGTAACCCACCGGGGGGTTACACTCCCCCTAACTTTAGGATTCAAGGTATATCCTTCCATACGTTTCACAAGTGTTACAGGAATACTGTAAATACCTACGTAAGTTAAGCGAAATTCATTTGAATTAAAACATGTTAAGTTATTTGCGTAAGAAAATAAAAAAATTAAAAATGATCATTTTCAAGGTCATTTTTGTTTCTCTTTGTATTTTTGAAATATGAGAAAAAAGTTTTGTAGATGTTTTATAGGTTTTATAGATGGTAAAACTACCATCATCATCAGTAAAGTTTTATCATGTAATTTTTGCTGTGCAATAGTTTTTTATAAATTTGTTATGAATATGTTAAAAATACTGGAGGTTTCACCCCAATTGCATCAACGCCGAGTGTTCCTCACTCAAATCTGTAATTAGATCGTAATGCGAATTTTAAAAATAAATCGTTTCCTACGATCATCGGCGCTATTACCCACGAAGCAGATCTGCACGTCTACAAAAAATCAAATTATTAGGCCAGAACTATGAATTAAGTTACTTATGGTAAATAATAAATGACGGGTAATAGAATTATGGGTACCGTTTTTGCGTTTGCGCTGCAGTAATATGCGGGCACGGTTTAATCAAATAACTCGCCCCGTAGGTAAACAATTATTAGACTTTGTGCTTCGCTGGCATGGGCGGAAATAATTTGTAACGCTGCGTCCCGATTTTTAATATGGCGGTTGCGAAAAAAAAAGGAGCAAAGTAGCCTGTAGCTGAAGACGCGTAATTGGGCTAATTCGCAATTTTATTTGTGATTAAATGACGTATTATTTTGCATCATTCCAGAGGCGGTGTTTACGTGTTTCCTTTTAATAACATCGGATATATTGTATAATTTCGTGGTTGTTATTTTCGTATGAAAATGTTTGTATAATTTTTATTACATTACAACACTAAAAATCCGTCATCCGTCAATAAATTTAAAATTGATATTTTTTTTTCACACCTGCAAATAATACATAAGCTATTTTGGTGTTTTACTTAATCCTCTCTACAGTTCTTTCTTGTTCAAGCGTGAAACCGCAGGAGTAGTTTAGTATACAAGCTTTGAGTAAGTAACGAGCGTTCAAATAAAAACGTGGTCGAAGTTGGCTCTGACACATTGGACGTAGGGAGTAGCTTATAGCGACCAACTTAACCTCATTTCTCAACGAGCTGTATAGCAGCTGTCAGTTTCAATAACGTTAATGACTATATAACTTTATTTTAAAGAATAATCGTGATAACAATAACAAACAATTAAAGGAGCTGCGGAAAGTGTCCCCCTCCTTGTTATAACAATAAATTAAAGCAGCTGCTGAAAGTGTCCCCCTCCTTGTTCCAAGCACTTTTCACACCTGTTCCTCAAAGAATTAAAGACATTTTCTAAGATGCTCGGGGTATTGTTAATTTCACGAATCTTGTCTATAAGTCGAGCCTGCAGATGGTTTAAATCAGGAATAGGCAGTTCAAAAATAGTGTTTTTAAGGTAAGGCCACAAAAAGAAATCACACGGCGTAATATCACATGACCTCGGTGGAAATTCATGTTCAGCATTGAGACTTATTAGTCGATTTTGGAAAACTTCCCTCAACATATTCATCGTCTCGCCTGCCGTATGTGCCCTTGCGCCATCTTGTTGAAAGTAAAAGTTTGTAATTTCGTTTTCTTCCAGCTGGTTAACAAAAGGAGCGATAATTTCTTCTCTATACCTTTGCGCAGTAAGAGTACCATTAAAAAAAATAGGTCCATAAATCCTCCTTCGATTGAGAGCACACCAAACTCCAATTTTTTGAGCGTGTAGAGGGCCCTCGACAAAAAAGTTATCTGGTTTTTCAGAAGACCACATTCTCATATTCTGTGAGTTTACGTAACCACTTAAATGAAACCAGGCTTCATCAGAAAAAAAGGTGATATTATGAAGTTCACCGTAGTTGTTTAAAAACCATTCACAAAATACAGCCCGTCGCGGAAAATCAACTTCATGAAGTTCTTGCTGACAAGTTAAACGATAGGAGAACAAACGCAAATCTTTTTTTAACACTGTGTGGCAGGTACCGACTGATACTCCCACCATTTGTGATAAAACACGTACAGAAGTTCTTGGCGCATTTTCCATTATTTGTTGGACATTTTCTTTTAATTCTTCAGTCCGCTTTTTAGGTCGGCCGCTTCCTTCTTTTCTTGTTACACTGCCCGTTTCACGAAAAACATTAACACAACGCTGAACTGCACTTTGAAAAATTTTGTACTCAACAACGCCGGGAAATTGATTTTGAAATTCTATGAAACATTCCTCAATAGAATACTTCCATATTCCATCAATCTTGCGTCCATTTCTAAAGTAGGACTCTATGATAAACACTTTTTGTTCTTGAGAAAACACCATTTTAAACGCTTTTTAAAAAGAAAATATTCAAATTGATAGCGGCGATATAGCGCTTTGACAGATGACGTTTAAGTTCATTTGCTATACGCCCTACGTCCAAATTTTCAGATCCAACTTGACCACGTTTTTATTTGAACGCTCGTTACATGTGGTCCATAATTAGAGAGTGAGTACAAGTTTTGGCCAGGCCAGCGGTTCTCAGTACAAGTTAAAATCATGATCTTTTAATAATTCATTCCATGTAACAGGCATCACTAATATATTTTATGTTTAGTCCTATGAAGACGTTTCTTTAGTCGACATTCACGATTTATTTGACGCTGCTTTAATCTTGTTCTGGCATAACGGCCCAATTAAGTTTAAATATGGGGAAAAAT